AGGTATTTCCTTCAGTTCACAATCTTCAATAAAACCATTAAATTTCCTCATGCTTGTTGAGATTACCTGTTGGGGATTATTGGTTTCATCAGAGAATCTAATGAYGTTAAAATCCCCGCCCAGGCACCAAGGACCATCCCATAGCCCCTTAATTGCATATAGTTCCTCACCAGAAAATAGAATTCATTAATAATTATTGAAGCAGGTACAATTGGTTGTGAGTTTACAATTCAGTTATTGTTTCAATTGGTCAACATTTAGAGCTTTTTTAATTTCCATTTTGTACTTTCATTATGGTACCTTGGATTATGCCATTGGCTTCCTTATACCTTTCTTTGAAACTAAGTATTATTCTATCAGTTAACATCTAAATTATTTTGATAGCAGAGATGGCTGACTTAAATTTGACAATTCTGATATGATTTTCAGAAATTATTGGCATCTGGAAGCCTTGGCTTTAAACACAAATTTTCTAGTGTCAGGTAAAATCCTTCTCTTTGATGAAGTTTGTCATGAATATGGTGCTCTTGTGATTTTTGTGTTGAATGGTGGTTTTGGAATGGATGGATGATGAGAGGGAAGTACTCTCGGACATTATGGGTGGAATGGATGAATGAATGCATACATTGGAGTGCTTTTTTCTTTGCAGGTGACCTTACCCCTGAACCCACTCGTAACAATTGCAACTCACCACTGAAAACTGGCACGAAATCAGCCTTGAAACTATCAACCTTGACCCATAACATTGCTGCAATTTGCAGCAAAAAAACCTACTCAAACTCGGTCCAAAAAAAAAACCTACTCAAACTCGGTCCAAAAAAAAAACCTACTCAAACTCAGTTCAAAACCTCACCCTTTGAATCCTTGCATCTGCTACATTTTGCTGCAGAACACCAGTCCTGAAACCATCATCCTCGACCCATCTAAGAGCTGAAAACCAGCCCTGATGCCGAAACCATCGACCATGACCCATACCATTGCTGCAATTTGCAACAGAAAAATTGGCATGAAAACAGCCCCAAGCCCACCTTTTTCAACCTGTCCACCTGTTGTATTTTTGCAGCAAGTTTCGGATCTGAATCCGCTCTTGGAAACCTGTGCCATCGCTGCAATTTGCAGCAGAAAATCGGCGTGAAATAGCCCCGAACCCACCTTCCTTAACCCATCTATTTGGTGAATTTTTCTCAATAGAAACCAACCACAAACTGGCTCCCGATAACCTGTGCCACTGTTGCAATTTGTAGCAGAAAACTGGTACAAAATCAACCCCAAACCTGCCTCCGTTGACCCTCCTATCTGTTGAATGTTTCTTAGCAGAAGCCAGCCTCAAACCCGCTCCTAGTAACCTGTGCTGCTGCTGTAATTTACAGCAGAAAATTGGCTTAAAACCTGCCCAGACCCATCTCCTTAAACCTTCCTATCTACTGATTTTTTTCAGTTGAAACCAGCCTCGGACACCGCTCTGGTAACCCGCACCACTGTTGCACTTTGCAGCAGAAAACTGGTGCGAAACCAGCCCAAACCCAACTCCTTAAACCCTCTTATCTACTCAGCAAAAAACAGCCTTGAACCTGCTCCCGGTAACCCGTGCCACCACTGCAATTTGCAGCAGAAAACCGACACGAAACTAGTCCCAAACCCTCCTCCTTTAAACCTTGTACCCACTGCTTTTTTTTTTAAAGCAGAAAAACAGACCTGAGCCACACTCCCTCCGCCTCAACTTGCAGTAAGAAACCAAATCCAATCTGCCCAAACTTGAACCCAACCTAGCTGAACCTAACTTCACCTAAGCCAACCTATTCAAACCAACTTAAGCCTAGACCCAACTCAACTTAACCCGACCCAACCTTAGCTGAACCTGACTTGGAGTCCACAATTTTAGAATTGAAAGATGCTCTAAATAAGTTCATATCTGCTAAACCTAACTTCACCTAACCCAACCTATTCAAACCCAACCTATTGAAAGATGCTTTAAATAAGTTCATATCTGCTGAACCTAACTTTAAATACGACTTCAACGGATCTGGATGTTTTAGAGCCTGGCTTCCTCTTGTATTAAATGTAATTCATGTAATTTCACTTCACAAATATTGATTCCAAAACTTTTTCTTGATCCGTTTCAGGTTAAAATTCGAAAAGATAGTGAGGTTCGCTTAGAGATAATTGGGACAAGAGTAGACGCCATAGACATCTAATCAAAAGGAAGAATGAATATAATGAGGGCTGAATGTTGTATTTTTTTTGTTCTTAAAATGATGATGGAAGTCAATTTGAATTTTATGAATAAGGTGTTATCTTTTTGGATTTTATATATATTTTCATACAGGTTTTATGTTTTGATTGAATATATTTTCATATAGGTGTATCAATTAGAATTTTTATGTAGCAATATTCACAATATATTGCACTTTTTAAAAAAAATTTGGAACCCTTTTAGAGGCGGTCAAAAGTGCTTCTAAATATTAAAGCATACAGATTTTTCCTTTTCTTAGATTTCTTTTAGAGGCACATAAAATTGTTGCAAAATCCTTTAGAGGTGTTCAAATGCGTCTCTAAATTTAACTTTCAGAGGCATTTTTAACTGTCTCTATACAAGATTTTTAGCGTCAGTGCAATAGAGACAGTCGTACGTGCTTCTAAAAGTCCAATTTAGAGGCGAATTATAAATCCGCCTTTAATGCTCAACCAAGCGCCTCTAAAACATTTAGCGACAGGGCTTTTAGAGGCACTTACCTGGTTGCCTCCTATAACCTTTAGAGGCATTTTTTATGCTTTTAAAGGCTTTTATGGCCGCCTTTATAAATGAATTTTCCAATAGTGTAGGCTTACCACCGGGCTGAATGTCTCTTGATAGTCAAGGCCTTCACATTGATTGTATCCTTTGGCAACAAGACATGCCTTGTGCCTTGTAATGGAGCCATCGGGATTGTACTCGAGATGAAACACCCATTTGCAATTGACTATGTTCATGTGATATTGGCAGGGAACTAAAACCAAGTCTTGTTGCATTGCAATGCCTCAAACTCATCTTGCATGGCTGCCTTCCATTTGGGGTCTTATAGAGCCTTGCAGAAGCAACTTGGTCTACATCCATGAGAATGAGAAGAGGGTGGGAAGTGGAGGCAATATAGGTCTTTGGCTTAAAGATTCCCACTTTACTTTTGGTTACCATAGGATGAACATCAAGTGTGGCAGGAGCTACAACTGATGGAGGTGTAGAATGTGCGGAAACTGGTACTAGTGAGGGATGTGCTATAGGAGAATCATCATTAGAAGTGTTTTATGGAGAGAGTTGCACTGGAAGAGAATCAACAACGGAATCATGTTGATCTATGACAGGTTCAATGACACGATTTGATGCACAATAGTGTGAGTGAATCCAATTGAACCTGTGAATGAAATGGGAACCATAGTGGGTGGTGGTCCAATTTAACTAAAGTAGGAGATGACTATGAAACCACTGTACTGTCTTTATACACATTCTTCATTATGAATGGAAAGGAGCTTTCATTGAATGTGACATGGCGAAAAATATAAGTTTGACCTGAAGCAAAATCAAGACATATAAAACCGCGATAGCAATCATAATAACCCAGAAAAGCACAACTTATAGAGTTGTATTGAAGCTTGTGAGCATTGTATGGTCGAACTAAAGGAAAACATTCACATGCAAATGTTTTCAATTCTTTTGTAATTTAGTGTAATCTCAAATAGGACTTTCATTGGACTGTTCATCTGAAGAGTCCTGGTAGGCAAGTGATTTGCAAGGTACACAACTAAATGGAAAACTTCCCACTAGTACTTAGTAGGTATCGAGGCACAAAAAAGTAATGTTAGACCAGTCTTAACAATTTGACGATGTCTATATTCTACAAAGCCGTTTTACTCCCATGTGTGTGGGCATGCCACACATTGAATGATACCATACTTATCAAGGAGAGGCTTAAATACTTTGAATTCTCACCCACCATCAGATTGAAACTGTTTGATGGTGGTGTTGAACAACACTTTTGCTTTAAATAGAAAGAAGGCATTCAAGGCATCAGATTTCTTGTAGAGAGGAAAAATCCATTGAAAATGACTAAATGCGTCAATAAAAACAATATAATATTTATATCCACGTACTAAAGAAATTGGGGTAGGTCACCATAAGTCTAAATAGATTAAGTCTAACAGAGCAGATATGTGCTACTACTAGAAACAAAAGGTAACTTATATGTCTTTCCAAGAGGACAAGATGAACAAAAATCGAAATGGCAAGAAGAAATTGGAAGTTGAAATCTGTGCATAATGTGTCTAGCAATTGGTGTTGCAGGATGCCCAAGCCGAGCATGCCAATTATTTGCTGAAGTTTGTTCACCTACAAATGTTAAACCAAAGCCATTATAATCTATTGCTCTCTTGGAGTGGGCTTGCAATTTATAGATTCCTTCCTCAACGGGTCCTTTTAGAAGTATGTTCTTTATATGTAGATCCTTCACAATAAAACCAGAGGGCTAGAATTCAAAGTTGCAATTATTATCCATTGTAAACTTGACAACAAATAATAGATTTTTAGTGATGTCAGGGACATGTAAGATATCATGAAGAGCAAATTTTCTAGAGGATCACTACAAGAAAAATGACTTTTAGCGATATAGTCAGAACAGCCGTTAAAGGTCCCTAAAACTACCATTATAGACTTTACCGGTAGTTGGCAAATTGCCGCTAGACGTTCTAGCAGCAATTTTCTTGGCTGCTATAAATTTTGACTTTTAGCGGTAGTTGCGACTGCCGCTAATACTAGATCGGCTACCACTAAAAGCCCGATGCAGCAACTGCCACTAAAGGTCCCTAAAACTGCCACTATAGACTTTACCGGCTGACGCTAGAACGTCTAGCGGCAGTTTTCTTGGCTACCGGTATAAGCCACGACTACTGCTAATACTAGATCGGCTGTCGCTAAAAGCCAAATGCATGCTTCTTTTAGCGGCAGTCATGGACATCTTTAGCGTTGGTCGCGACTGCCGCTATAGCCATATATATATTTTTTTTCATATAACCTAATATTTTTTTTAATTTTTTCTAATTTGCTTGATATAATCTATTTTCTCTATAATCATTTTAATTGAAATGAAATACAAATGTATGGAGTAAAATGTCTACAACCGCTTTCCTTTGAATTCCTTGTACTCGGTGCAATGCCAAACGTTTATGAATTTTATTTCATTTTACTGGACTTGCATATTTTTTTATGATTTTGCAACAGACTGATACCCACCAAGTTATCCCACTCACGGAGATCCTAATGCAAAGCTTTACCAATTAGACGATTTTGGCCATTTGAATAAATTCTTTATTTAACTTCCCAGTTCTATCAACATACTTCTAAACAAAAGCCACTATGCACATATACAATAAAGTAGGAAAACAATCAAGATGGTAGATTTCTCCCTCTAGTTGCTCTTCAACTCAACTTTGTAAGAGAAAATATTGGGCATATTGAAGCATTATTTCCAAACCCTCACTATGACTTCTGAAGCAGGAGCTGCAGTTTAGATGCTTGAATCTGCAGAAGGAAAATAAATTAATCTCAGTAAATTAAATTAAATTAAATTAGACAATAATAGTCAGAACACTCTACAGTTATCACAATGACCACTAGCAGAAGATTAATGTAGTAGAAAACTAGAAATTATGGTACAAAGATCACATTTAGGACCTCCTGTTTGATTGGTAAAACCCAGGACTCCCAGATGGACCCAACCAGTGGTGGCTAGATTAATTAGTGTACACTTGTCACCTCATCAATACTCAGACTTCTCTTAGTGTCTTGATCAACTTTGAATATCCCTATAAAGTTAGATCAGCTTTTCAATTAGCTTCATCAAATTGCCATCTGATTTGGGATGAAGTAGTAAAAATGTTGTTATACTAGAAGTTGTTTTCTAGGAGTTGAGGAAAGCAGCAAGGAACTTGCTCTATTAGTATCTTGAAGGGAATATACAGGTTGTATAACCTTATGTACATATTTCTCCTCTATTAATAAAACATTGCCAATTGCTAACAAAAAGTCAACCCTTCTGAGTGATGAACAGCTCCTAAGGAAAACTAATAGGATCTCTTAGGTTATGGATATCAGTGCAGCAGTATTTCAGGGAATTCTTCCATGTCTCTGGTTTTGGTTTTATTACCCTTTTCAACTCATTGTTCATGGGTTCTTATATACACATTTTCTATACCTTGGCCATACAAGTAATTGTATAAGCCAAATCAGTACTTTGCCATTTCGGGGGAAAATATTATGTTAATATTTTTTTTATCAAAAAAAGGAATCAAAACAAGGCATGTACATAGTTATTAAGTAATCCGATTGGGGTGATCTCATTGGCTATGATGGCTGGAGGAGATGGTAAAATCTCTGCCCTGGTCCAAATTCTAGTCTCTTTAGGCCCTTCAAGTTGTCTGATTGACTTGGTGCTTTACAGGATTTGCCGATATCATGGGGAGGAGGTTTGGGTCTCTAAAGCTTCCTTATAATCAACATAAGAGCTGGATTGGAAGCATATCTATGTTTCTCCCTGGTTTCTTAATCTCTATGGGGTAGGTTATGCAAGAAAGTTGCATTTTTCACTATGTATTTTGACTTGAACAAATTTGCACACATTGATATGGTTATTTTGTGTTCAGGATGCTGTACTACTTTTGTGCTCTGGGTTAATTTCAGTTGGATTGGGTGTGGACAGTAGGTAGCATTAGTTTCCTTCGTAGCAACAGTTGTGGAGTTCTTCCCAAATAAAAAGGGTATAGATGACAACATATCTGTTCCTATAACAAGCATGTTAATGTCAATACTGTTTTTTCAGTTACCACCCTCCTCACATTGATCCACAGACTGTTTAATTCTTTTTGAGTTGGTTGATGTGGAAAGTTGCATCCGTAGATGGACTTTGGTGATTATTCCCAGAGTTCCCTTGTTATTGTAGTAATTGAAAGCTAATCCTTTCATCCTTGGAGATGATAATCCGAGCACCATGGTCGGAGTAGATGTGAACTCATAATCTGAAGGGGTGGGGGTGTCAAAGCTGCTTTTTTAGTATGTGCCAAATGTTTCTTTTGTCAGTTGACAGTGAAAATCTGGATATGCAGAGAATAAGAACAAAAAAAAGGTACAGAAGAAAGGGTGCAAGAAAAAACAGGTTGAGGTAGGAAGAAAAGATTTGAACTTTAGCTTCCGAAGGCAATATAGTAGAACATGGAACTGGGTGTCACATTTGGGTGTAAATAGTTGCACAAGGATTAAGACTAATAATGTTGACTGATTAGTTTTTGACCAAGAAAAGAGATTTTATCAATAAAAATCTCCATAAAAATCAATATGGAGATTTTTATCAATCCCTCCAGAGGTTATGTACATAAAAAAGGAATTAATCTGAAGATGATTGCACATTAGAGGAGTCCTGAGGTTACTCTTCAATGGAAAGTGAATAAAACTTTAAAGCTGTTTTTGGAACACAAAGTCACTAATTAAAGGAAGTGCAGAAAACTAAAAAGAACCTAAAAATCAGATAAGTTTCTGGAAGTAAAGCTTCAAGATGCATCTAATAAGTGGTAAACAGCTAGAGAAAAGCATGTCTCAGTATTAAAGGGACTGAAAAATTAGCAATCAGATTCAATTGAGTGAAACTGAAAATATAATATTACAAGTATTTAGACATTTGGTTGCCTGAGTCATATAGTTCAGATTCAAATAAGGAGCTACCTTGTACTCAAAACTTAACAATGAAATTTTTGGGAAAAAATGTAAATCATAAAAGAAAACCAAAGCATGAGATTTCAGGGAAAAAAAGATAAATAGGACAGAAAAAGGTAAACATGATTAGGTATTGTATCTGAACTTTTGAACAAAAGTCCCCTTATTGTATTCCCTGCAATCTGAGTGGGTTCCTCTAGCAACAAGCTAGATACCATGCATACACACTCAAGTCATATAGCAAGTTTTTAATAGTTTAGTTGCCTGAATCATACAAAACATTGAAGATCCGGACAAGAAGCCACTAATCAAGTAACATAGCAACTTACCGGCTGTAATTTCTGCTGTGCCTGGCCTGGAAAATCATGCAGCTGTGGCAACTGGGTTTACCAAAGATAAACAAGAGATAAATTCAGTATTTCTGTTTGAAATAGATGTAACATACAAATATTACACAAAAATAAGTCCACTCAAGTCAGTAATACAAAGAAAAAGAAGAGCACATCATAGATCTGGTCAAGTGTTTATGGAAACCCATTTTGTCAACTGATTTTGTAAAATAATTGCCAGCTTAGAGAATGGAAAAATAGATTCTTGAACCGTCCCTGGTGAAAATGTTTAAAGGTAAGCCAAAGTGACCCCTTAGTAAGAAGATTTTCCTGAATTGATGATGTGCAACTAAGTCGCAGATGGGTGTCTGATTGATGATGGGTGAACCATCTCCAGAGGTGACTCTGTTCCTGATTGCTTTTGGTAGACAAAGCCAAGGAACTTCTATCTTTTCACTTGCTTACCAACAAAAAGATAAATCAGTTACTAATCAAGTACCAGATAAGTTTGATTGTAAATCTGATTGCACTTTATGAATCTCCAAGGGAAATGGAAGAAAGAATATGAAAAATCATTTGGTAATAGGAACTAGAAGAGGATAGATTGAGATTAAGAGTTGATCACACTAACGGGACTATTGATAGAAATCCCGAAACGTCAAACAATAAATATGAACTGAATGAAAGATGAAAAGATAGAACATTTGTTGTCTTTGAAAGCCATTTCATGGTAATTGCTAAAGTGAATGGAAGAGGGGTCAATTGCTAGAACTTTGAAAGCATGGTAATTGCTAAAGATAGAACATGTTTGTGTTTCTGTTTTCTAAAAGCATAAGTTTATTTGTTGTTTTTCTATACAGGGGTATTTTCTTGACTTAAACCGGAAACTCTTGCACTTACTTTTTGTTCAAAAACATGCTTTTTTCTTTTGTTAATGTGGCATATTTTAGGAATACATGTGGAAACACCCCCTAAGTAATCCAGTTTGCTAAAATTCTAGTGGAACTTGGGCTCTTCCACCTGTCATCATATATACAGAGGGATCTTAATTAATCTTCAAAAAGATGTGAAATCAGGACATACTGATTTCTTGTTTGACAAACCTCTGAATTTAGTTATAGCCTTCAGAACATATTCATTAGTTTTGGTCTTCATACTCCATTAGTAAAGAAATTGAAATTAACCTCAAAACTACAGGATCAATAGCTCCCACTCAATCTAACAAAATCAAGATATGTGTCCAGTCAAAAAAGGGAGGGGATGACACAACATTTCCTGATTCCTACTATGCATTCATACATATATAGATGAGAAAAAGGGTTTTTGGTGAAGAAGTTTAGCTTGAAAATGGAAATGATCATGTGGGTCTGACCCCATATAAACTTGGAGGGTGGGGTAGTTAGTAAATTGTAATGAAAAGGGAAAGAACTTAGAAAGATTGTCATGTAGAAGTTGTACCTGAAGCTGCAGTAGGTAATGCTATATCTGTAAATAAATGTGACAGTAGCTGCTTAGGTGGGGTAGTTTGCTAGTAAAATTTAAGAACGGAACCGGGTTTTATTGGGGTCACCATGATCAGAAGTTCTAAAACGGTCCCAACTATTGGATAGCATTAATTTTGTTGAGCCTACCTTTTACAGTGAACAGTCTGACTGCATTTCTTCTTGTTGATAGAGATACTTCGGAATTGATTGAGCCACTTTGGAGAAGTTATTGAATATAGCTTCACAGTAAAGTTCAACTGGTCATAGCAGACCTTATTCCGGCTCCCAGCACTTGACTTGCCTGTTTTTCATTGGAGGTTGCAAAGGAGTGCTATAAATGTAAATTAACTCCATTAATTCCTACTGGTTAGCTCTGTTGTGGAACCCATTCATCTAAAAAATGAATCTAAACCTAAAGATTAGGAAGAAAAATCTGCTGCTACCACTGCAATCCCTTTTAATACATACTTTTTCTCCCCCATGCCTTTACAAACAAAAAGAAAACCCACTGCCAAGATCCATTAAACTTAAAGCCAGCAACCCCCCTTAAGATCCCAAACCAACATTGATCCTAACAACTTTCACCACTCAGCCCTCCCCTTTAAATACTTTATTTGTTCAATGAATATCTCTCTTCCAATCCCTGGAACATTTTTCTTGCATATTCTTCTTCTCCTGATGTAAGTTACTTTCTAGTCCAATGCTACATAGGTACTTATCCATGCTGAAATAGCTCTTGGAAGCAGTGTTTTAAAAGGCGTGGGAGGCGTACGCCTCCAGGCGAGGCGCTCCCAAAACGCCCTGAGGCGTAAGCCAGAAGCGTTGACACCTTTGAGGCATACGCCTCTTGTGCTTTTTTCATGAGGCATCCTAGAGGCGTACGCCTCATGCGTCTCATGCACATCATATAAAAAAGACAGATAAAAAAGAAAAAATAAGAAAAAAGGAAAGGAAAGGAAAGGAAGAAAAAGAAAAGGAAGGGAAAGAAAAAGAAAGAGAAGAGAAAAAGAGAAAACGAAAGAAAAGGAAAGGAAAGGGAAGGGAAGAAAAGAGAAGGTGAAAGAAAGTGGTTTGCCACATGTCCCTTCGGTTGGGGGCTTCCCCCACCCCCTTTTCGATGCAGCCCTATTTGTTTTTTTTTTTGAGTTAGGGGGGTGACAAGACCCCTCCTTTCAACTAATGTTATGCATTTTTATTCTTCTTAATATAAAAGATTTTTATTAAAAATAAAGAAAAAATGAGATCCTCCTTCCTCTTCATCTTCCTCCTAACCCCCTCCTCTTAAGGAGGCTTACACCTCCTTGTGTTTGGGAGGCTTATGCCTCTTGTGTTCTGAACTATGCCTCACACCTCTGGGTAGTGGAATGCCTTGCGTCACGCCTCCGCAATTTAAAACATTGCTTGGAAGTTAAGGTTGGAAAATAAATCAACACAGTTAGGTTTAGGGTTGTTCATGGGGTTTGACAAGAAGCATATTTTCTTTTTGCTTCATTAAGAACTATTACATGAAACATATGACTCAACTAAACTCAAGAAAATTTTAACCCCTACTATTTAGGGTTGGCCTCATTAATACTATCCCTCCATTCCACCCTATCAAGAGCTGAAGAGCCATGTTTTTTGCATTACAAGAAGCATTTTTTTTTTTATGTGGCTGAACTAATTCTATTTTGGATAGACAACTTAGTTGCTCTTGTCAAGAGCTATTCCAGAGGTATAATGGACCAACTGGACATGGGACTAAACTGATGTGAAAACCCAAATTTGGTGTGGCTGAACTAGTACTAACTACTTATTCTCTTAATTTCTCTTATATCTATCAAGCAGGAAAGCACATGCAGATGTATATACACATAAGAGGTTTGAGAGTAAATATAATGGAGATGTATACAGCATAAATATAATGCAGGAAGCATTCATGTGCAGTTTTAAATAAAGAATAAAAATGTAATAAAAATTGACCAAATAAGCATTATAGCCTTGTGTAAACAGCTGCTGTTTTGAAACTAGCACAGTTGCTGACTATGTTCTTCATAAGCAAGAACTATTAGAGGAGTTTAAGTTTTAAACAGGGCATAAGATCTCCTTCAATCTCTTTTTCTTATGTATGGCTATATCTCTTCTAATCTTAATGTGCCATTTGCCACCTTTAAATTTAAATGTAAATATATTTATATGCTACTTATCCTCATAATGAAGGGTAATGAAAGCCCCCACAACAAAACTTAAATTAGCCAATCAAATAAGACAATAGATTGAACAGATCATCAGGAGCACAACTAGCAAAGTAAGAAAACAACTAGCCCAAGTAATAAGGATATGCAAGAACAATATAACATTCTTTTGTACATTAAATAGGCATCGAAGCAGATTATCCCATAAGAAATCCTAAACACATCCACCTTCAATTGTATTCATATATCATAGGGTTAAAATCATACCAATGGTTGGAATGGTAGTGACAATCTCTCCCAGCTTGAGCTTGTACAAAATGGTGGTCTTACCTACAGCATCAAGACCCACCATAAGAATCCGCATTTATGTTTTGGCAAATATTCAACTGAAAAGCTTTGTGAAAGACCTCATCTTTGCGACTGATGGCTCTACAAACCGCTTATCAAAACTTCATTCAAAATGCAAATAGCCCATAGGGAATGACATATTAACAAATACTATAAGAAGTTCATCATTTGTTCGAAAGAAAAAGTGGTTGGTTAGTTTATTATTTATAACACGGAGTTCACTACAATAATAGGAAAACAAGTACATGGAAAGCTTGCATGAATACCTGAAACAGTTCCCCACAGTTAAATGCCCAACTTAACAGGGGAATCTCAGGTATTATACCTAGAAGTTAAAAACAAAACTTATAGAAAGCCACAACAAAAGATTGAAACCGTGTAAATTTTTTGAAAAGAAAGCATAGTGTAGCTCAGGAAAGTATGAAGGTTTCTATAGGAAGAAGAATCGCTAAAAAATGTAACCGGTTAATTGAATAGTAAGGTTCTTGATGTATAAAACAAAATTAAAATGAAAGAAGAATTTCACAAGGAAGCAAAAAAGATGGCTAAGCTTTTCATCCCCACATGTTTAGATAAATTCAAACATATTCCTGCTTACCATACTATTCCATCTTTTAAAATAACATTAAAAAAAAAATCAAATTTATACAACAACCTCACTCAAATACAAAGGGAAAAATCACGCCAACATCTGAACCCGTAAGTCAATTATATTCACATAATGACATAAACTGGCAGTCTTCGTTTCGACAAAGCAACAAAATCTTAAAACACATCAAAATAGATGCACAACCAAGCGAATAATAATATATTACCTATTAGAATCAGACTATCTAGAAATGAAAACAGAAGAAAAAAAACATTGCAACCATCAAAGTTAGAACAAAAAGACAACAGTATTGAATCTTAGGTCCACGATAAAAAAAAAATACCAATAAACTAGCACTTATCATGATGAAAAGAAATAAATCGACAAAATCCGGCATGAAATTCATTTTTAAGAACCGGAAAATTATGAAATGGTATGAATTATTCGAGCAACCAATGCACCAATCCGTGTATCGAAATGAAAATTGACTAGATCATGCAACAATATTACAAAAATGCAAAGGAATTAATTCGCCAAAGAAATCCAAGACCATTTGTGGAAGAAGCAATATTACAAGTGTCAAACTGGGTTTTTAGCCTTAGTTAGGGTTAATCAGAGAGAGAGAGAGAGAGAGAGAGTTAAGAAATCTAAACTTGATTGGGTGTCGTTTGCTGGTGCTGGCATCGTTGATTGAGTATCGTCTGGTGGAGCTTTAACTGAGAGAAGTAGAGAGGGCGAGAAGAGGAAAAAAGGGGAGGAAGAAGAGGACGAATCTATTTTCTTTAGCGCCTTAAAGTATACTACTGTCGATCTAGTTTATAGCGGCAGTTTTAATTCACTGCTGCTATAAACTATTATTTTTATCAGCACCCACCTTTTAGCCCTCTTTAAAATCGCCACTATATATTGATTTTTTTGTAGTGGATGAAAAGAGTGTAGAAGAACCAATGTGTTTAATGCCCAAACCTTCTCCATTACCAATCTTAATTTGATCGGGGCCATCATTTTCAGAGTGTAAAGATAAGTTCTCAACATCAGATGTTATGTGATGGCTGGCTCCCGAGTCAGGGTACCAATTATTGTCAATGAATGGTGTAGTGCTTGCAGTATAGGCTGAAACATTACCACCAACATTGTTCCCTTCTGACCTCTCCTATTTGAAGTTTTTATCAAAATGTGCTCTGCATTTGTAGGCACTATGATTTGGTTTAAGACAAATTTGACATTTGACTCCTTGGTAGGGATTTGGCTTACGTTCTCTATCAGTCTTGTTCTTATTCTTGCCAACACCAGTTTTGGGAATAAAAGACCTGTAAAGAGAAGATTGAGAAGCAACATTTGCAAATAGTGTAATATCAAAGAGAATCTTTGATTGCTTCATTCGAAGTTCATGATTAGAGAGAAGAGCCTAGATTTCATCAAATGTGTAGTTTTCAGGTCTTAGAACAAGACTGGTTACAATACAAGAGATTCATAATTTGGACACAATCCTCTTAAAACATACTTGGATCAATCCTGAATCTGAAATGAACTCACCAATAGCCACCAAGTTGTCAGAGAATTTCCTAGCTTTCTGAAGTTTATCTACCATGCTTACAGTTCCCTTCTTGGGGTGCATGAGTTCAAATCTGAGTTGCATAATACAAGCTCTAGAGTGAGATGCAAGGAGCCGCAATAAAACTTCCCATACTCCTCTAGTGGTGGTATGGCCAATAACTTGAGCAACTACGCATTTAGTGTAAGATGATAAAAATCCAATGTAGAATCAGTTGGTATTGCTACTCCCAAAGTATGTATTCTAGATTCAAGTCAATTGAGTCACTGGATCTAGTTGAGTTGAGGAACTTGGTTGGTGCTTTGATTTTTCCATCAACATACCTGAGAGCCTTAAATCCTTTCAATGTTGCAGTGAACAATGACCGTCACAAAAAATAGTTTGCACGGTCTAGTTTAACAATGATTAAGTGTACGACTATTGCTGGTAGATTGAGATTAGCAATAGTGGTGTTAGAGGTTTGAGAGCTAGAAGATGAATTCATGGTCGTAGAGAGCTCTGATACCATAAAGAATAAATCAAATTGGGGGAAAGAATAAAATTGATGACTCTTATTGAGAGTCCTTTATAAATTTATATGTGAGTTACATACGTACAACTGTAAGTTATTTACTGTCAATAGAATACAAGCTAAAAAAAATTATGTACAAGATAAGGAAAATGAGTGATTAACAGTGTTTGGGTTGTTGATGACTCTTTTGTGCATGATCTTATCTTTAGCTCATTATCTCCAACAGCAGTGTTATCTTTATCATCATCCCTCTCCCATACTCCCGAAGTCACCCTTAAACAGGAGCTCTTGGTTACTATTGTCGCAGACGTTAATAATATCATCATCCCTGTTTATATAAAACATTGCAAAATTTCGATTTTTAGTGACATTATGTTACAAAAATGGTCTTTGCAACGGTTAAAGTTAATCGTTGCTAAAGGTCTCCTTTTTCGCATTTTATTTACGTTTTGACGAAGGGTTTTTTAATGACGTTTGCTATAAACGTCATAAAAACCTTAATTTTTAATGACATTTAGTTTATATTTTGGTGACTTTATGTCAAACATCACCAAAAGTCTACCCAAATTTCTTTCTCCACAATTCCTTCCTTGTATATATGATTATTATTATTGTTATTACTATTATTTTTATTGAACTTTAAAAATTTTATCAGTTAGTTATGAAATGGATTAATTATATAGTCAATTTATTGATAATTTGAAAATAATTATATTTCAAAAAATATTTATATTAATGAATATTTTAAATGATTAAATTTTTTATTAAGTTAAAATTTGATTATTATTATTATTATTTCATTTTAATTTTATTAATGTAGTTAGTATTTTCAAATAATCAAATACATTCTTGTTTTTAATTAAAATTTGAATGTTGAAATAAATTTATCTATTTTATAATTAATTATAATTGTAATATATATAATATTTTAGAACATTTAATCAAATATTTAACCAATTATATTCTTGTTTTTAATTAAATTTTTTGAACTATTGAGCCAAAATCAAGCTCATCGAATATTTAATCAAATCAAGCTTGAAACAAAAAATAAAGTTTGAATGAAATTCGAACTCAGACTCAAACCCATGAGTATTTCAATTGAACCGAGCCAACACATGCTGAAATTCAGCTTGACTTAGCTTGACTACACTCTTAATTAAATAGTTGATTGATTTGTATTAATAAATTAGTTATTTAATTATTATTTATTAAATATTAATTATTGCTTTGTTATTTAATTGTCTAATTAAGTAATTGGTTATTTGATTTACTTACATAGCTAGTTCATTAGTTATTAGTAATTATTATTTGTTAATGTTTTGTTTTATTAATACTTATTAATAGTTGACTAGCAATTTCCGTTGAACTTACCTAGGGTTGTCAATGGATCAAGTCTAGGTTGAGACACATTGTCCTAATCTTAGGGTTGTTAATAGAGTTGTTCATGGGTTGGGTCGGGCCTAGTTTGGGTTGGACTTTGTCTTTGTATTAATAGAATATATTTATGCTCGACCCAATCAATTGGCCTAGGTCTTAGCTTGAGCCCAGCCAGAAAATTGGAATGTTTCTTCTTTGTTTTTATTCAATAAACAACTGTTTTACTTATATTAAAAGACCTCAAAACCTAAAAATATTGAAAGATCTCACTATTACTTGAAAAAAGAGAACAATGATAAAGAAAAAATATATTAAATACATATTTTTTATTATATAATACATTATCAAGTTAAGCTCGGGCTCGGGCCTCCGCTTCAACAAGACCCCCCCTTTCAACTAATGAGATCCCCCCTTCCTCTTCATCCTCCTCCTAACCCCCCTCTTCTTAAAGAGGCTTACGCCTCCTTGTGTTCGGGAGGCTTACGTCTCTTGCGTTCTGAACTACGCCTCACGCCTTTAGATAGTGGAATGCCTCGCAGTCACACCTCCACATTTAAAACATTGCTTGGATGTTAAGGTTGGCAAATAAATCAACACAATTAGGTTTAGGGTTGTTCATGGGGTTTGACAAGAAGCATTTTTTCTTCTTTAAGAACTATTACATGAAATATATAACTCAACTGAACTCAAGAAAATTTTAATCCCTACTATTTAGGGTTGTCCTCATTAATACTATCCCTCCATTCCACCCTATCAAGAGCTGAAGAGCCATGTTTTTTGCATTACAAAAAGCATTTTTTTTTGGATGTGGCTGAACTAATTCTATTTTGGACAGACAACTTAGTTGCTCTTGGTAAGAGCTATTCCATAGGTATAACGGACTGGCTAGACATGGGACTAAACTGATGTGAAAACCCAAATTTGGTGTGGCTGAACTAATACTAACTACTTATTCTATTAATTTCTCTTATATCTATCAAGCAAGAAAGCACATGCACATGTATAAACACATAAGAGGTTTGAGAGTAAATATAATGGAGATGTATACAGGATAAATATAATGCAGAAAGCATTCATGTGCAATTTTAAATAAAGAATAAAAATGAAATAAAAATTGACCAAATAAGCATTATAGCCTTGTGTAAACAGCTGCTGGTTTGAAACTAGCACAGTTGCTGACGGTGTTCTTCATAAGCAAGAATTATTAGAGGAGTTCAAGTTTTAAACAGGGATAAGATCTCCTTCAATCTCTTTTTCTTATGTATGATTATATCTCTTCTAATCTTAATGTGCCATTTGCCACCTTTAAATTTAAATTTAAATTTAAATGAAGGGTAATGAAAGCCCCCACAACAAAACTTAAATTAGCCAATCAAATCAGACAATAGATTGAACAGATAACCAGGAGCACAACTAGCAAAGTAAGAAAGCAACTAGCCCAAGTAATAAGGATATACAAGAACAGTATTACATTCTATTGTACATTAAATAGGCTTCGAAGCAGATTATCCCGTAAGAAATCTTAAACACATCTACCTTCAATTGTATTCATATATCATAGGGTTAAAATCATACCAATGGTTGGAATGGTAGTGACAATCTCTCCCAGCTTGAGCTTGTACAAAATGGTGGTCTTACCTGCAGCATCAAGACCCACCATAAGAATACGCATCTATTTTTTGGTTGAGCTTGTACAAAAAGAAAAACCTAAAGCTCTAAACCCACCCACTAAAATTTCATTCTACTTCCCGCATCGTTCTTTCTGCTTCTTGCTTGGCTGCCTCCCTCTCCCGCTCACTCCTCTTCTCTCCTTCCCTCCTGCTTTACCCGCTTCATTGTTCACCTATTTTATTTGGCTATAGGTAATAAACCCATTTGGGGCTGTAAATCATTTTGGCGAAAGTAACCTACCTCAATCTGTTCAATTCAAGAGAGGAATCGAAAGGACTCTACCAAATCCACTTCTCATATGCTGTAAATCATTTTTAGTCTGCTTGAAACCCACTCCTCATCCGCGTACATCATTTTGGGGCTGCTTCAAGTTGCTATCGCAACCAGTGTTCAACCCCCTTTTCTAATTATGATTTGAGCTCAGGTATTTTTTATTTTTTAATATTTCCCTTTATTTTTCATGAAAAATCTTCACCAAACCTAGAAATTTCTGCTGACTTATCTAATTCGTTTCCAGGTTATGTTGAAGTTGGACTCTCTAAAGGTAAAACCATCTATGCTCGCGGACTCTCTGTTTCTAATTACGATTTGGTGTAAGAATGTAGACGTCCATAGGCGCATGCATGGTCCATGCACACCTACGTAAATCTCTAAAGCTCAACCATATCCCTTGAGTTTCCAAGCCCAACCAAATCCCTTGAGGTGTTTGTATCTA